TGTGTGTGGAGGTGGGGAGGGACGGAAATGACTTGCCTCCCTCAGAGAAAGTTATCAGCCATAAACTCAACCGTATGTGACATGACTGCCTCCGCAAACCTGTTAAAGTCTTTGATGATGCCTCCCCAACGTGAACAAAAGACTTACTAGTGGAACATAAGGAAAGTTTTGAAACAATAGCACGCGGGATGTAATTGACTGTGTATAGCCACAATAGAGAATAAGTGAAGGTCTTTAGTATGTATTTGTTTAGTGATTAATCACTAACTCCTATAGGGATGGGCCACTGATTTGCTATTCCAGGGCATTCTCTGCATCTTTTTTTCGTTGAGTGTGTGCGTGCGTGTGTGTGTGTGAGAGAGAGAGAGAGAGAGAGAGAGGGTGGGGACAGGAGGAGGGGGGCGGGGGTGTGCAGTAGTATGCTTGTAGTTGGTGACTGAATCTTGTAAAAGGGTTTCCTAATATGGGCTGTCTCACCTAGCGCCCTCCCTCTGTGGGCCATCCCCCCAGATCTCAGCCAGTGATGGCACAGCTCGAGTACGACTCACTTCCTCATTAATTGGCTGAAACCAGTTCTTACAGGAACCGCCTGATAAATGTGAGAGTTCTGAGAAGTCATTCATTTCTCCGTGCTGCAGCGGCAGAGGAGGCACTGCAGGGGAGTTGAACGAGTTCACCGATGTGTGTGTGTGTGTGTGTGTGTGAGAGGGAGAGGAAGCCGAGTATGTGTGCGTGTAGAGAGAGAGAGAGAGAGAGGGAGAGAGAGGAGAACGGAGCCAGTGAATGTGGGTGACTACTGCTGCCGCGGCTGCTGTACGAGGACCAGCCAACTTTATGCCATTTTTTTAAATTGTCTTTTTACTTATTTGCTTTGTTTTTCAGCAGCACTGTTTTCTATAGCTGTGGTACACGCTGTACTTTATTCTGTGTGTGTGTGTGTGCGCGTGTGTTTCTGTGTTTGTGGGGATGAGCGGTGAAGGGATCGTTGCTCTCCCCGTCTTCCTCTCTTCTCGGAGAGAGGAAGCAGGGGAGACCGACACTGTACAGGACATAGGACAGCATGCCTCCCTTTGTTGCTGCCCTTGGGCTGGTGAGTAACAATGATGTGACGTGATTTGTGCCCCCCCCCCCCCCCCCCCACCCCTCCTCCCCCCCCCCCATGCCTCCTCCCCTCCTCTCTCTTTCTCTCTTCTTCCTCCTCCTCCGCCCACCCCACCCCATCTCTCTGTTGGTTGAGGCAGATCTGTTCCACTGCTGGGTGCGGCACTGCAGAAGCCCTTCAGGGAGTACTTGGAGGCCCAGAAGGCCAAGCTGCACCATCAGGCTGGAGAGGGGATCCCAACTGTAAGTACAGGGGCCTCAGCCCCCAGCTCACAGCCTCTATTCATTCACGTGTGCACGCCAAGACAAGAATGCAGCCCCCTTACTTTTGCCTCTTTCACTCCTTCTCCCTCCACTTTTTTTCGTTGCTTTCTTCTCTTTATCTAAGCCTTCCTTTATATCTCTGACCTATTTTCTCTCACAAACACAATTCTGTTTTCAACCTCTTTACCTGAACCATGTGCTTTCAGATTTAAAAAGAAATGTAAACATTTTCATATATATTTTTCAAATCTAATTTCATGTTTATAAGAGAAATGTTGATGTTGTAGACTTTACTATAACCTGCAGTGATCCAGTAGATTACAGAGGCTTGTTTGGGGCCAGAATGACAGAGTAGGTTAGCGCTGCACTGGGCGGGCTGGAGGGGAGGAGGAGAGGGGCCAGTGTGGGGTCTGGCTCCACTCGCTGTATTGAACTGTACTACTGTAGCGCGGGGCGTGCTGACTCATGCTCCATGTTACCAATCGGGAGCGTGTGTGTGTGAGTGTGGTCACTCCCCAATGTGTCTCACACACACACACTTGCACTCAATGCCCCGCCTGAACCCAGCACTGACTGTAGACCGGGGCGGGGGCCCTCGCTTCGCCAGTGACAATCCATCAAAACCCCCAGTCTAGAACAAAAAGAGCCAGTTGTAGCTGTAGCCATTTCTCTTTCAAAGCTTTTTTTCCCCCTCTATATTTCTCACTCCCTCTTTTTCTCTCTTTCCTTTAGTGATTCATTGAAAATGATTTTTCTCCTTTTATGCGCAAGAAAAAAAGGATAAACTTTGAGTTGCACAAGGACAGATTAAGGCATTTCTAGAACAATGTTCCTCTTTTCTTGTAACTTGAGCCTCCTGCAGTTACAGGAGAGAAGCGAGGCAATTTAACTTGGTGGAGGCAGGTTGGGGTCAGCGGGGGCGTTAGGAGGGAGGACGGTGGGGGCTGCCGCGTGTTTTATTACCCCTGATCTCTATCTGTCCTGCACATGGAGCTGGATCCCCACCTAGCCTACAGCATCAAGAGCAGAGGGGAGAGCAGGGTGTGGGGTGAAGAGGGGGGAGGGGGCTTCAACTTACTGACCCAGCTCCTCTCTCTCTCTCTCTCTCTCTCTCTCTGTTCTTACTGTGGTTCCTGGCAGGAGGAGAGCTGGCTGCCGTGGCTCTTTGAGAAGGTTGTGGTCATCATGGTATGCTTCTTTGTCTGCTCCATTGTCAACTCCATGGCCCAGAGCTACAGCAAGCGCACGCAGCAGGACAAGTACTCGGAGGGCAAAACGGAGTGAAGGCCAGATAGCAATCACAGCCGACCATCAACTTCAGAAGCTCCCCCTGATCCCGTACTCATTTCGGCTCTCCCTCCTCGGCTGATAACCCGCCATTATCTGAAGCAAAATATCAGCCTCCGACTGGTTTGCCTCTTGTTATTGTAGCAACATGTTTATGTTGAACTCGGACTTCCATTTACTTGCTTTTGAAGGCTTTGTATTTGGTAGTGATTTCCGCAATTGTTCTCTGCAAGGTAGGTGCTTGTTGGGCTGCGTGTGAGTGAGCTGTTGTGTTGTTTGAACGTTCATGTTGGTGCTTTCATCCGCTCCTGAGTGAGAAGAAGCTGCTGGCCATATCTCTCCTTAGTGAGGCCTTAAGCTGCGCTGTTTGTTCACTAGAAGAGTCACTTGAATCCACTTTATTTGAATAAGTTAGGATTGTTACCTTTGATTGTGAAGTGAGTTATTTGTTCAATAACCAAATTATTTATTATCTACTGTATATTAGCTTGTTAATTTTTAAGACTGTATTCTGTATTTATTACTGTACTGTGTAGTTGTTTGGCGGCATTGACTGTGGTAAGATAAGACATGTAAATGATCGGCCACTTCGGAGCCATCTCATTTCTACATGTTGTAGAGTTCGAAGTCAGTTGCTGTAGAGACCCTAATAACATTTCAAACTGTTCGTGGTGCTTTAGATGAACAATTCTTTTGTGTGCGCAGTGAAGCTCATCAAGGTACTTTTGGATGAGACATGAGAAATCGGCCATGAATCACCCCGCCGTTCCCTTTGTCTGCCCTTATTGTTCTGCTTCCAGGAAGGGAGCACATGAGTCAGCCCGGGGCTACTTTACCAGATGCAGCCATATATTGAATCAGATCTACGGCTGTGTGCGCGTGTGCCTGTGTTTGAGACGGGGAGCGAGAGGCAGGTAGTAGGTTGGGTTTGTGTGACTGCCACATTTGTTGCTCTCCCTTTTATCTTTTATGGGTTTCAGCAGATTGCCTCCAGTAATAGACTAAGACTGCCTGGAAGTCTTAGTATAGCAGACAGTAGCGGCTCATTTAACTTAGAGACAGGCTGTGTCATGGTAAGTGTTTTTCTTTGTCTTCACTTGTCCGTTTAGCTTTTTTTCTTTTAATCCTCTTTTACTTCAGATGAGGACGGCATGCTCATGTTTGACATTATATGAGCATTTCTCTGCATTTTATGTGTTCATTTTTTTTGCTCTGCGGATAACGTCAGCTGGCTCTCGGTATATGCGGTACCTTCTTTTTTTCATAATTGCCAGAGAAATGTGCTATTTTCTTCTCCCTCTCTGTACCGCTGCTACGCTACGCTGGACTGAGCACAGTGGGCGCTAGAGCAAGCAGGGGAGAGAGGGAGAGAGGGAGGGAGGGAGGGAGGGAGGGAGGGAGGGAGAGAGAAAAAAAAAGAACCCTCGAGCGCACAGTGAAAAGCGTCTGTGCAGTTACCTCAGCTGAACCTTCGAATGAACTCGTTGCACTGCCTCAGTCACGGAGCCAGGAGACGAATCACTCGAGTAGATTCAAAACAGAGGGGCACTGTTGAGCGGGCTGAACCCTGTGCTCTGCACCAGCGCTAGTCAGAACATTCACATCTCCTCTTTTCTCCTGTCATGGTAAGTCGGATCAGGAATCTTTTTTTATTTTTTTTATTTTTTGTTCTCATTGTTGTCATTTCTGTACATGCGTACGTCTCAGGCATGTCCGTCACTCTCTCGGCCTGTCAGATAGCTTATCAGACTGGTGTTGGCTGTTAAGATTGCAAGGCGACAACAGTCTGTAGGCTGTCTGACATTTCGGGCTCTTTCATCTGACCAGCATCCTGTTTCGTCCTCCTTCTGTTATTGTCATCGTCTCCGTTAGCATCAGTTCCCATTTTAGAGGTGGGTGCTGCGATATCACTTCCTTTTATCCCAACCGCTTGTGAAGCATCAGAAACATGGGCCTATTGTTTATTTCCTCCACGCTGACGTCTGAGGTTTTTTATGTGGTTTTATGTGGGGAACTGTGTTCTCGCATGTTTGCAAATGCAGATGTAGTGATGTCAATAGAGTACTTCTGTATATGCGTACGTGTGTGTGTGAGTTGGCTCTGTCCTCTTGAATTTCCAGAGAATCCAGACAGTACACACCTTATTGCAACACAACACATTGTGACACACAGTCCTAGGTATGGTACACGCAGTGCTCACCCAGCTCTCCCCTTCCCTTTCACACTTCCTTCTTCTCTTTTACTGGGAACTTTCTTCTGTTGCTTAATACGCACTTCTTTTGTAGGACGCTGCATTTTATTGGAACAACTCTCTTGAGAGGATGTTTTTCAAAGGGCCACAAATTGGTAATTATACAAAGCTGAAAATGATTGCTTGACCAGCTGCAAAGCTTCAGTTTTATTTTAGATTCATTTTCTTTTCTTCTAAAACAGCGAAAGGGTAAAACTTTTTCCTGGTCATAAAAGCAAAATCATTGGATAACACTGGAATGGCTCACTGGCTTAGAGAGTGTTTTTCTTGGCAGTTTCAGGATGTCCTGTTCCATAAGGGAGCCCCCTTTTGGCATGCCTGTCTCAATGTGTGCAGTGCATGTTTGTCTAGAAATTCTGTTTCTATTTCTCGTCTAATATATCTGTACCATGGTTATTTTAAAGGTATGTATGTAGTGTTTTCTCATGTGCTCTCACTATAAATAAAGTATGTTGAAAAGAGGATTGGGTTTTCTGTTCATTATGTGATAAGTCTTGACCGCACTGGGCCAGTGTTGACCCTCAGGCCTCCAAAGAATCTCACATGTCAGCCGAGAAAGCTGGTCAAGAAGGATGCTGAGAATCACAACTCCGATTTCGCCGTCTAATGTTTCTCATCCAAAGGGTTATCACATTACTGATTTGCTCTCTCCACACTGACATCATCTCCATTTCAGATTCCATGTTAAGCCATTACTGTGAGCTATAGCTTCACTTCTACTCTTGTGACAAATTAAAGTCAGATTTAAATGCAACACCATTACCTTAAACTAGACAGAGTATTAGCATTAATAAATAATAATAATGTGTAACATTGTTGTGGAATTATTCTACCATTTTAAGATAATATGCTTCTTATACTAAACATTCACTTTGATTTAAATTTGGGGAACTTGCATTGAAATAAATAAACAAAATAAAATACATTCTGTTTTGTTGGTGTTTCACAAACATTTGCACAAATTCATAGATGAATTTAAATACATGTCATACTTTATACACGATACACAGTTGTTTAAATAGATTTTATGGTGATATGATTCAGGTATTGTTGACCTCAGGTCAGGTCTCTGTGGTTATGAGGTAAAACGTGGTGTGAGTTTGTGTCCTGGGGTCAGCGGTGTGATCTGTGCTAAGAAACACCTGTCGGAAGAAGTCCTATTCCCAGAGCGGCCACACCCTGAGCACCATGAAGACGACTTTTTCCACCCCGCACACCCCACCCTGCCCCGGGGCTCTGGCTGAAAACTCAACATGCAAATCCTGCCTGTCCAAACAGGCTAGGGGACTGATGTTCAAATAATGACTCTGCTTTTGTCCTTCCTCTCCATATGCTGTACATGTACTACAGTTGAATCCGGTAGCGTTGGTTTGATTTCCTCCATATTGCCTGCCCC